TGTAATCCTAGCTGCAGGGGAGGCAGAGATCAGGAGGATCTTTGTCAGCCTGGCAAATAGTCCAGGAGATCCTATCTTGAAAAAACCCATCACAAAAAGGAAGGGCTGGTGGAGTGGCTCAATGTGTAGGCCCTGAGTTCAAACCCCAATACCACATTAAAAAAAAAAAAAAAAAAAAAAAAGCAAGAGATGGCAAGAGAAAGCAAGGAACTCAGAAAGTTTGACCCAGAGTTTGCAGTTACTGAATGGAATCATCTAGTTCAAACCCCAGCACTGTGATAGGTAGGTAGGCAGGTAGAAATATAGATAGATAGATAGATAGATAGATAGATAGAGAGAGAGAGAGATAGAAAAATGGAATCATTCACTGGTAGCAGAGCAGACAGGAAGTGTCACTAGTAACCAGAATAAAGGACCAGGGGATGTTTGTGTATATTAGTAAACTATTGTTTCTGACTTTATGGACTTAAAGAATGTGAGAGTTAGCACATGTCAATGATGAAGCAGCTTTTATCCTGGAAATGCACAGCTGGTTCAATGTTGAGATAGGCTACTATAATGGATTCTATAAAAAATAGAACAAGAGAAAAAACTGTGATTATCGTAATAGATACTAAAATGGTATTTCATGGAATTGCATACCCAGTCCTTTTTTTTTTTTAAAGAAACCTTGCAAATGAATTCTAGGAATTTGTTTGAAATGATTTAAAAAGAAAAGGCAAAATGATGGGAAAGTAGGCAATAAAACTATGATTATTTGTAAAAAAGGAATTTTTTCTATCCAGAAAAGTCAGGAAAATAAATTACAAAATCATTATCTTTTCTACAAAACAAATGAGCAAATGGAATTAATAATAATATATATTATGAGAAGTTTCCATTTACAGTAACCACCTACATTATAATTTGCTTGGACTGCTGCAACAAAATACCACAGATTGGGTGGCTTAAGTTTATCTTCCTACAGTTCTGGAAACTCAAAATGCAAAATTAAGGTGTCAGTAGGGCTAATTTCCTCGGGAGGCCTCTCTCCTGGGCTTGCAGATGGCTGGCTTCTCCATGTGTCCTCATAGGGCCTTTTCTCAGGCATCCTAGGTGCCTCTGTGTGTCCTAATCTCTTTTTGTAAGGACATAGGTCATATTAGATTAGAATCCACACAAATGACCTCATTTTAACTCAATCACCTTTTAAAGGCTCTACCTCCAAACGCAATCACATTCTGTAGTACTGGGAATTTGAATTTCAACATATGAATTTAGGCAGTTTGTCACAGTTTAGCTCAAAACATCCTCAGCAAACATATACTACCTATATGTAACCCTAAAATGAGTATTAACCATCTAGAGGGAGGCAGCTACACTGTGGAATTTTACTGAAAGACATAAATGAACCGTTGAGTAAATAGAAAAGTGTGTCATGTTCTCGGTAGAAAAGTCTTAGTAATACAACACGAAGCTTCAATAAACGTCAATTTATTCCAAATTACTTTATAAGTATAGTATACTTCTAACCAAAAGCCAAATATATTTTTAAAACCTCTTGCCCTTTCTTTTTTCATTACTTTTTTTTTTTGAGACATGCTTTTGCTCTATAATCCAAGTTGGCCTCATATTCAAGATGCCGCTGGCTCTACGTCCAAGTGCTGGATTACAGGTGTGCACTACCACACCAGCTACCTTACTTTAATTGCATATTCTTTATTTCTGATGAGTATGTGCCATCGGCTCCTTGTGGTTCACCTCGAATCAACATTCCCAAACACCTTGTAGCTAGCAATGGAAAACCATCACTCTACTAGCCCTTAGGATAATCCCTCTGATTTATCTTTGAAAATTCTGTCCTCAGTCCACCCAGAAATAGTCAGCTATGTGCAGGCACTCTTGTTTAAGTTAAACCTGTCCCTTCAGCTCCATTCCTATCTCCCCTTCCTCCTTCCCTCATACTGGAACTCTTAATTCTTACACCACCATCACTTAGATTAACCTTCCCAAAATAGGATTTTCTTCATCTTCTTTTAGTTTATATTGTATTCAATACCTCTACTGGGTGACTTTGGACAAGTTAATCCTGTGCCTCAGTTAACTCATCTATAGAATGAGAATGACAATAGTACATACCTCATTGCTATCAAAATTAGGGCTAATAAATTTAAAACACTTAGAACGGAAATATTTTATATGCATTCATTAAAGAAATCACTCCCACTGTTTTACCTAGTGCTCCTTCCTCTGGGTTTAGGCACTGTACTTCCTTTTCAGATGATTATACTCAGAAATACTTGAATATTTTATCAGTATTCATTACAGCAGTACTTTAATAGCAAAAGATTGAAGAAAATCTAGGTCAATCAATAGAAAAAATATTTTAATAAAGATAGTGATACTAGAAAAACTATGAGACTAAGGTAAATTTGTAGATAAGATACATATGATATGAAAGGATGGTCACAGCATATTGCTGAATGAAAAAAAGCCTAGTTGAAGAACAAGAAGTACAATATGCTCCCACACATATTCATTTTGGGACAAACAGGAAGATACACGTGAAGCCATTAGCATAGGACAGAGGTTTCTGTTATGAAATGAGGCCACTCTCTGGGCATGAAGGTGCATGCCTGTAATTCCAGCTACTCAGGAGGCTGAGGATCAGGAGTTCCAGGCCAGCCTGGGATCACAGCAAGACCCTGTCTCAAGATAAATACCAGAAAAAAGAAGGAGCTGAGTATGTAGCTCAGAGGTAGAGGGCTTGCCTCACATGTGTGAGCAAGCCCTGGTTTCATTTCCCAGTACCAAGAAAAAAAAATGAGGCAGTACGACCCTGAAACAAACGTGTCACTTTTATAATTCAAGCAAAGTAACAGCAAAGTGATAAGGAGAAAGCACCCTAAAATATGAAGCTAGGATTTGCTTCAGAACCCCTATCCTACCAAGAACTTTAAGCATCTTGCAAATTAACCTCAAATGCTAATATGTATATATGACATATTTATATATGTGTATATTATATTATACATATGTAAGCATGACCGAATATTTTTATGTTATCCTTAAAGTCAGCCAAAAGAGATGTAATTAGTCGAGAAATTCAATAATTCAAAGCAAAACCTTCCACATTAAGCACTGATGGGGGCTGAGGGAAGTCACCCTTTTCAACCAACAAATCTGATTTATGCAGAAAATCTGCCTGTAGGAGAGTGAATTTTCTCTTTCTGAGAGTCATTTCCACTGCCAACAGAAAACTCAGGGAGTTGTAAATCAAGTCGAGCCATCTTGAAAAATCCTTTTTCCCACAGATGTTTTTCAGGAGTTCCTATGTGCTCAAAGGGTTCGGGTTTGTAAGTAAAAGAGAATTCTATAAGGGGTGGCAAGAGGAAGTGGTTTTAAAGAAATGAACGACAAGATACCTTTTACCTAAGGTGCATTTTAACCTAGGTACCTGCTTTGTTAGGAAAACAGCCCGTGTTTTCACCTGTCATTACTGGGCCTCTCTGGGCATCAGGAAGCTAGGCCTCAGCCGTCACCTGGTGACGCCGATGACGCTACGAGCCCCAGCTGCGGCGATCAGCAAGGCTGCGCCTTCTCCTTTAAGTCGCTGACTCACGTGGATGCTGTGTTGTGTGCGCTCAGCTGGGAGGGAGGTGGTGGAGCCTCAGTCTCACCACATTGGCCGCACTGGCAGAGGGGGCAGAGCCAGTCTCTTTGATTGGCTGTACGAGTCCGAGGTGTTGGGCCGGGGGCGGGGCGAGCTACATCAAGCTTGCCCAGACTCTGCGGCTTCTGCTAGGGGTGGGCCGCCAAGCGTAGGGAAGAGAGAGTGGGGGAGGGTGAGCCAGAGTAGGGGCGGGGCCCAGCGGAAGGGGCAGGGTGCCAGGGAGAGGGGCGGAGCCTGAAAATGAAGGACGTTCTAGGCCAACCGGGAGAGCCGACTGCAGCAGGGGCGGAGCCACGCCGAGTGATTGACGCTGGGATCCGACCAGGGAGAGGCGGGGCCAAGGCCAGGGCCTGACTAAACCTGGAGATTCGGGAGGCCGAGGGGCTTCGACCCAGCTGAGGAGCGAAGAGCTACTGGCAGCGCAGTTCTCACCGCCGCTCAGGGTAAGTGCGGTGGCAAAGGCTGGACTCTGGGCGGGTGATAACTGAGAAGCTTTCCGCCTCGGGCGCCTTCGAAGCCCTCGGGGAGCGGCCCGGGGCGGGGGCCCAGGCAGGAAGTGCCTCTTCCTCGCCGCGCTCCTCCCGGGGGTCCCAGTGCGGCCGCCCTCGGCCCGGGGCTGCGGACCGACGGGCCGGGCAGCTGCTCTTTGTGAGGCTCCGGCGTTGCGGCCGCCGTCGGCCCGCCCCCGCCGCGCACAGCCAGGCGACCGGCGCGACAACAGCCGCGACCCCGCCGCTCCCTGGGCCGGCCCGCCGCCCCCTTGGTGCCTAGCGTCGTGCCCTCCGCAGAGGCCGCACACGCCGCGACACCGGGGCGCCCGTCGGAGGACAGTTTTGTCCTGCGATTCGCCCCCCCCACTCCCATTGCCTGGGCCGCCCCGCCCCCACGGCCGCCGTGCCCGCCTGTGCGTCGGGGGCGCGCTCGGGGTCGGCCTGCAGGCTTGCGCCGCGGGGCCGCCCTTCCACCCCGCCCGACGCGGAGTCCCTGGCCTTGGGGACTCCCAAGTTAAGTTGGGAGTTGTCCTGGCCTTGGGGGACCCCGCCGCAGCCCGGCCCCTCGGACACTGCTTATGCCGGGCGGGGTCAGCGCCTGCCTCTGCCCCGCAGGGTGAACGTCCATCACGCCTGCCCTGCTGATCCCGGGGCGTGGGGGAGACGGAGGGGCAGCCGGCCGGTACTGCAGGCCCGGGAGCCCGCGCCCGCCAGCTGTTCGGCCCGTGTTTGTTGTGCCGGAGGAGGCCCCGCTGCCGCCGCGCTCGCTGCACGGCGCCTCGTGATTGGCCGGCGGCTGTCACGTGGTCGCGATCAGCTGGGCCTGTTGCGGGCGGGGGCCACACGGGTTCCCCCGCAGCTGCCCGGCGAGCCCACCTCGCGCCGGGCCGCGCGGCCCGCCCTCTGCCCTCTGTTCCTGGTGGGAGGGTGGCACGCCCCTGCGCCTCCTTTATTCTACACTCGCTCGTGTGCAGGTAAGTAGGACAAGCGGGTATCCGACCTGGGGAGTGGGAGACTCAAGTATTACAAAGGTGTGTGCGGTCCTCACACCGACTAACCTCCTTTTCAAGGGAGAGGCAGGGAAGGTGTACAGCTCATTTATTTTTAAACTTTTTCTGTTTACAGAGCTCTGTTGGTAATCTGAGGATTTTTTATTCCAGCTCTCCGTGGCAGATGGAAAACCTGAATAACTCACCTGGGGCTAACCTTGTGTTTTTGGAAAATAAGTAACTGCGGTAATAGGATATGTACTCGCTAACCTTGTATAGCCACCTGTGCAGGTTGCAGCTGCAGTCCAGCAGAGGAAGCAAGAGCAGGCAGTGTTTGCCAGGGTACATGTTTGTACCAGATGTGAAGATCTTTGCTGAATTCTTTTCCTAAGAATTTATCGCATACTTGTTCTAGGTTAGGTACAAAGTTTGAAATTAGAAAAACAATTTAGTCTTTTTTCTAGAAGCTTACAGATTAGTAAAAAGGCACAAGCACGTGAGATTGAGCAACAACACAGTTAAATATTAGTTATGAAATGTGTTCTAAGAGTTCAAAATGGGTCAGAAATGAAGAAATGGGAAGTATTTTGAATTGGTATTGATTAGACCTAGAAAATGAAAGGGTTGCTGCTGGGTAGACAGTGATTTAGGAGGAAAACAGGCTAGAAGCATTTACAACTAGCAGAAGATGAAGCTATGGAATTTGGCACACATATTATCTTTATCTTTCTGGGTATGTATTTGAACACCAGTGAGAAGCTACACTCTTAGGAAGGAGCTGACGTCCACCTTTGTTATACCTTCATCTGGTTTTGTGTCTTTTACAGACTTGTGTCTGTAGACCAACCATCTTCTCTCTACAGAGGGGACATGATGAAATTTGCTAATGATTTATACAGGAAAGCTAAGCATATTGGATTTTAGAATAACTTTTCTAAGTAAGGTTAGTAGAACATATGTAGCTTCTTAAAAAAATGTTACCTGGTTAGATCTTTGAAGACTTCTCTTTAGACTGATTTGCTTCTTCTATCCACTATTTGAGTAGAAGGCAAAAAAAAAGTAGGTTTAGAAACAAAAATTAAGTGTCACAGATTCTGTGAAAAGAAGTTAAACTTGCTACTACCTTCCAAAAAAGTCTTCGAGACCTGAAGCTAGTCCTAAATATAGTCATGAGATGTGAGGGTAGTTCTAAGTATATTTGTGCCCAGAATATCCTTTTAGGCTTTATAATGCCTCAATGGCTAGATAAATCAACATTAATTTCCCTGGTAGTCATGTGTGTGTAATGGAGGAACTGAATCTTATCTAGACAGGAATTTGCTCTTTGACATTGAATCAGGAAACCAGACAGTTAAATTATACTTCAGTCTATCCAAGTAGAAGCTTTTGGTATTGTATCACAAACACAAGAGATTATGAATTTGTCTTCCCGACAGGTTTTTTGGGAGATTACCAACCCATATTGTTCGCTGACTCATGACTTGCTGAAGTATATGACTAGTCATAATGATGATTAAGCAGTATTATATAGAAATATAATAAACTTGAATATTGTGTAACAAGACATAAAAATTAGGCATTATTTTAGGGTGAAAGCAAAAGCATACTTAAAAATAATTGTGAAATGAGGACCTGATCTCACAAGTAGACCATCATTTGACACAGTAAAGTGATCTGTTACTGCAAAAGAATAACATGGTCTTGTGTCACTTAAATCTTGGTAGATATTTTGTACAAAAACTGTAAAATCGGTTTTATGATTAAAATATTTATTTCCCTTTGTAACTTCAAATTAGTATAAAATAGTCACATATCTGTATAGTTAAAATTACCATGGCATTAATGTTTATTATTAAAATAATCTGGCACTTGTTAATCTAGCACTGGTAGAAGTTCTTTGGGTTTTTCTTTTTTGCCTTTTGGAAAGAAGAGACTGAAAACCAGATACACAAACATGCTTCCACACGATTTCATTTTAACCGAATCAAAACCATACCACCTCCTGAAGGGGGAGGATTCCTTTAACACTTTCTGCACTAGGCTCCTTTCTACTAGGTTCCCTACTGCAGAGGCTTTGTACTTGTCTTCTGTCTGCCCTCTTATAGTGCCCTGGAAAACCCCTCCTTTGCTCTGTGGTGTGGTTCCCTGGTGTGTGAGTTTTGTGGAAATGCCTGAGGAATTTTCCTTCACTGAGGAAAAGTCTTTCTGAACTTGGTATTTTTTCATCTGAAAGTCCTATGAGATGCAAATAGATACCTATTGTTCTCCCTGGTATTTTTAGAGCTGGGAAGTGGTGCCTCTTTTGTTAATCCCACCTGATAGGGTTGAACTAAACTGGAGATTATTAGTTCTGGGGAGGGCAGGTACCTATTTTAAGCCCACTACTGTGACACTAAGAATTTGAGGTTTCTAGCTTTCTTCCTGCTTGTAATTTCTAAAACCTTGTTATTTAACATGGCTGTAATTAACAGGAGGTGGAGCCAATTGTTACTGTTTTTTATTTTTTCAGAGTCTTATCTGTAATGGGGTATGTTGAAAAAGTTACTTTTCCTGACCTTTGTTTAGCATTCACTGTGCTAAGCACTGTTCTTAGTATTCAGTATTTCCATTTAATTATCATTATTTTGAGGTGGGTATTGCTATGCCATTTTACAGATGAAGTATACAAAAGTACTGAGGGGGAGACCTGAAATTTGAACCCCATGAGTCTTTTTCCATAGTTGAAGTTTTTAGGCTCTACCCTGGAAGTCCCTGGGAATGGAGAGAGGAGGCAACAGCTGGATACATATGATATTTTTAACCAATTTGTATAATCTTTGTATACTTGATCTTCAGCATGCTAAACTGTTAATGAAAGGTTAAAGATTCTAGCTAGAAAAATCCGTGAAGAAAAAGGGAGTGGGATTAAACTGATCTCAGATATTCTTATTGATCCTTAAACCTGATTACCAGCTAGATTTGTTTTGTTTTGTTTTTTTCTGAGAAAGACTGCTTTCTAAATGAAAAGTTATTTCACTATCAGAATGTGTTCTTAAGCAGGACAAACTTTTTCCTGTAAGGAGTGAAATATGACTTTCGATTTTTTTTCAAGCCACAAGTTTGTGTATCAATTGCTCAAAGTCTGCCTTTGCAGTGAGAAGGCAACCCAGTGTGAACAAATGAGTGTGGCTGTGTTCCAAAGAAACTTTTTCACCACTGATACTTGAATTTTGTGTAATGTTCCTGTCTCACAAATTACTTCTTGTTTGTTTCTTCCTACCACTTAAAAGTATAAAACTCATTTTTAGCTTATGGATAATTAAACAGGTAGCAAGCTAGATTTGATCCACAGGCCTTCTACTGACTCTGCTTTAAGGAAAATACTCAGCAGCGAGCCAGACTGAAATAAGATGTCATGTGTCAGTTGTAGTGTATATATACAAGAAACCAATAGGCTTTTTAGAAAATTGTTTTGCTGACCTGCAAACTAGTAAATGATATGATCCATCATGTCCAATTTTTAAAATAATGCATACGTGGGGATCTTGTCTTTAATAGATTACTGAAAGAAAACTACCTTTTTTTTTCCTTAGAGATTCTTCAAATTCTGTAAATTTTTTAACAAATTCTTTAAAAAGGTAGAGGTCCTATAAAATGATTGCTTCAGCAGAATCAACTGGTAAAATAGAGACTGAAAGTTCTAGGCAGCTAAGTGTGCTATTTGGAGGGAGAGGAAATTGAAAATAATTACTAATGTGTGATATGTGAATCATCTATGAATTTCACTTATATTTTCATGTTAGGCATGTGCTGTACCACTGAACTAAAAATTTTATTTTTAAATAGGGTTTCCCTAGGTGTTCAGACTGGCTTCAAACTCACTGTAGCCCAGGCTGGCCTTGAACTTGTGATTCTCCTGCCTCAACTGCCTTGGTTTGTTGTTGTGTTGTATTGTTTTGTTTTTTAAAGAATCAGCCCTAGCTGGGTGTGTTGGCACAAATTTGTAATCCCAGCATTCAAGAGGCTGAGGCAGGAGAATCTTGAGTTCAAAGGTGGCCTGTGCTATAATAGTAAGATTTCTGTCTCAAAAAAAAAACAAACAAACAAAAAACCCCAACTATTTTTATCTTGTCAGAAAAAGTTTTAAAGTGTATAGAGGAGGAATGTCCATGAGCTTTTAGAAAAGGGTGACTGAAGTGTATTTCTGTGGTGTTAATTCAACACAGATGCATTTAATAGAACACATTCTTTGACCATGGAGGTCTTAAGAGAATTTGAATTAAGATGATGAGGGAAGCTGGGTAAGGTGGCTCAAGTCTTTAATCCTAGCTATTTGATAAGCAGAGATCGGGGAGAATCCAAGTTCCAGGTCAGCATGGGCAAAAATGATTGCAAGATCCCATCTCAAACAATGTTTGGGTATGAGTCTGTCATCCCAACTGCATGAGAAAGCACAAATAGGATTGCAAGTCAGGCTGGCCTGGACATAAAGCTGACCCTATCTTAGAAATGACCACTACAGAAAGAGCTGATGGAGTGGCTCAAGTGATAGAGCACCTGCTTGACAGGCACAAGGCCAAGTTCAACTCCCAGTGCTGCCAATGAAAAGCAATGAAGAGAAAGGAGAAAAGACTTCCAAAAAAGTGATTTCAGAGGTTTTGTTGATTTTTGCAGAAATTTTTTTTTTTTCCTAGTTTAGGAGAGAGTGTGACTGGTTGCCACCAACAGAGAACAGAGGAGGAAAATGGCATGGAGGTAGGAGGGGCTAATGATAAACATGAGGAACAAAGCTGAATCCAGCAGGCCAATAGAGTGAGAAGAACTAGAAAAAGATTTAGTTCAGAGCCCAGCTTGACCACATCCAGAAAGTCACAGTCTGTATATTTTTTTCTTTTTTGTTAATTCTAACTTTTATTCTTGCAGTTTGCATAATAGAGTTAAAATGAGTGCTGTAGATTTCAATGTTGATAAGAAAAACTGTACTATAATACAACTGAAATGCTGTGGTGAGCTGAGCAAGTGCACAGTCTGTATTTCTTCATCTGTAAAAGTAGGCTGATATCTCCTTGATGAGTTGTCACAATTAAATGATATTTAACATACCAAATGCAGTATCTCATACAGTAGAGACAATGATTATTAGGTCTGAGCCAGAATTCAGTATGTCATCCAGGTCCAGAGAAACCTAATTTGAAAGTATTGAATCTTAACTTTTTAGTGACCTTCTTCAAAGGATAAAGTGTGGCTGTCTTAGTCCATTTGGGCTACTGTAACCAAATGCTGTAGACTGGGTGGCTTACAAGCAAGAGAAATTTACTTCTCATGGTTCTAGAGGTTGGAAATTCCAAAGATAAGACACTAGCAGATTTGGTGTCTTTTTAGGGCCTATTTCCTGGTTTGTTGATGGCCCCATCTAACTGTGTCCTCACATGGTGCAAAGGGGTAAGGCAGTCTCTGGGGTCTCTTTTATAAGACCACTAATCTTGTAATGAGGGTTCTGCTGTCATAATCTGATCACTCCCAAATACCCTCACATTGCTGATTAGGTTTCAATATACAGTTTTCAGGGGCATATACTTTCAGGACATAGCAATAACATTCTAATTAATGTCAGCCTCTTAAGGGTTTGAATAATGTAACTTAGTACTAGTTTGAATTTCTAATCTTGCAAAACTAAGGCTTACTCCCTGTAACCTAATGATCATGCAGAAGTTTTTTCTACTTCCTGAAGACTGTTGATGTTTGATGTATTACTTCTGCTGGATTCCATGACATTCTTGTCTTTTCTGGCAGAAACTACATTTTATAGTTTTAAATATATAATATGTGTGTGTGTGTGTATATATGTGTATGTGTGTGTATATATATATATATATAGTACTCTATAAATAGCAACCACAACTAGCACAACTAGGAATAGTCTAACATAAGGTTCTGCCCAGATATTTTTGGTCTTGTAATGAATCATGTAATTGGATCCAGTAAAAATACTTGGGTAAAGAGTAAAAAAAAAAAAAATAGGCTGAATTTGAAGCAAGAAAAAAAAAGCATATTAAATCTATTTGCCCCCACTACCAAATGGTTAGTCACAGCTATATTTTTGTTTTGAGCCAAAGACAGAACAATGTAGGTAGAAAATATAGGGAGATTTTGAAGTCCAGGACATTTTCCACAGTACTATATCTGTCAAGGTCAATCCAGAAACATCTAGTTACTTACTACTGCATAACAGTTGAAATAAATCACAATTTGAAAATGTTATTTGAAAGAAGCAGGTCAGTGCGTCTCAGACTTGAAATCCCAGCTAGTCTGGGGACAGAGATGGGAGGATCACAGTTCAAGGCCAGCCCTGGGGAGACTCCCATCTCAACCAATAGTCAGGCAAGGTAGCTGGAGCCTGTCATCCCAGCTATTTGGGAAACTAATAGGACCACAGTCCAGGCCATCCCAGACAAAAATAACTAAAGCCAAAAGAGTTGGGTGTGTGGCTCGAATGATCGAGTGAAATTTGAAGGAAAATTGGCTTTAAACTGAACCCCAGAAACCTCAGCTGGAAGCTAAGTGATCACACAAATACTGTAGAACCTGAGGAATGACTGTATCTTTAACAGTTGGGGCTGTAAAACCTTCATGTTGAGTCCTTCCTGTTAATGATCAGTATTAAGAAACATGACCAAAATCAACTGCTGACTGTTTGTTGAATGCTTTATTTATAATGAGTGTCATAAGTTAAAATGTTACAAGGACCACACAGGAGAACACTGTGTACAGGGCCTGTGTTACAAGAGCTCATTGTTATGGAAAAGAAACCCAAAGTATACTCTTTCCCAAATTTTAAATATCAGCTCACCTTTTTAAAATGAAGAGTAAGAACTTTTATGATCCAAATAAATTTTGTCTGTTTTATTCACTGTTGTAGCACCAGGTTACCAAATGAATTCAGCCTATAGGCCTCAAATTTGCAATCTATTTTATATGCAGCAACTATTATGTTCCTAAAAATCTGGAAAACATCATGCTGAAATCTGTTGTAAAGATAGGCAGTAAGGATTAGTTTTTGTTGTCATTTTGCAGAAGTGTAATTAGAAAGTTAAAATACTATATATATATCTTAAACCTCCTTGTAGTTCTTTGTGGCTCTTGATAACATACTGGTTTTCCTTCTCTTAGCTGCAAATTGTAATTCTATTTACTATTTTTTATTCATTATTAAACTTTGTGTCATAGTGTTTAATGATATTTATGATAATGACACTTCTGATGACATTAGAGCTGCCTAATGGTCAAGGAAGTTCAAAGAGCTGAGAAGGAATGTAATTTTCTTTGTAGTGATGCATCCTGGAAGATTTTTTGCCCAGAGGAGCCAGCTGTGTATCAGCTCTGCATGCCATTTTAAAGATTAATAATATTAAGTATTTAAAATAACAGAAGCTTATAACTGTACCCAGGGATATTTCTTAAATGAAAGCTGCAGTATATTAAGTATATCTAGTTCTTTTAAAATTAATTGTAATGAATTTAAGGAGTTACATCTTTTCAAGTTAAAGAACTTTTGAAATATCTTCGTTTCAGAAGTTTGTTTCAAAGCTTGCTTTGTTGAGTGTTTCTTAGATATAAACAAGTTCTGTATTAATGGAAAAGCTTACCTTTTCCTTCTTTTCTTGTTGCAGTAGCCTTATGCCGGGTCTAGACCATCTTGGGTGCCCTTTTCGTGGTAGGGCAGGAGGGTTAGGTAATGGAAGAAGTTTCTTGAGTTGAGTGGAACTACATTCCAGCTGATTGTATTTAACAGCCACGTAACCTTTGACCAGTTAATAACCTTTTTAGACTTGGTTTGGATAATCTGTGAAGTGGGGTGGTGACTGTTCTGAAATAAACTATATAAACTACAGTTCTCCTTAGACTTTAGACAAAAGATTTACTGAAGTTGGTGCCATCACCCCTGTAGAGTTGTAAGTACACTCATTGACCAGATTCAGTCACCTCCTGCTCTGAAATCATACTCCCTTCTTGTTTTTTATGTTTTTCTTTTTTTGTGGTAATGAGGATTAAACCAGGTTCTTGGGCATGTTAGGCAAATGCTCCACCACTGAACTATATCTCCAGCCCTTTTCTTGTTTTTATCTTTCCCTTTTGTCTGCTTTTATCTTATCCCATTCATATCTCACATCTTTTCTCAAATCACATATGCTCAGAATGTTTACTTAAATGCCTGTGCTACACTTTTTTTTTTCTTACCTCTGTGCCAAAGCTTTGTAGTCATTCACTTTCTGAAATTCTACTTTGCATTTTTTTTCCCAGTGATAGCATTTCTTGGCCTCACCTAAGCATGTTTATTTCTTTGGCCCTCTGCTTCTAAAAGGTTCTTAGCTTGGGGCAACCCTGTTTATTTGTTCAGTGTGTGAACTTTAGATCCTTTTGTTCAGGGTTAGCTATTTTGCATAGTAAATACTGGAAAGCAGAGATTACATGTATATAAATGGTTCTCTATGAAACCCTCAAAATAGGTGCTAACAATTTTATTATAATGCATTTCTTATACTTTTCCATTTGCTCCTAGGTTTTTAGAACTTCAGCTATCAAAATGGGCAGAATTTTCCTTGATCATATCGGTGGTACCCGTCTGTTTTCTTGTGCAAACTGTGATACAATCCTGACCAACCGCTCAGAACTCATCTCCACTCGGTTTACAGGTGCCACTGGTAGAGCATTTCTTTTTAACAAGGTGGGTAAGAAAAAGTTTCATTTCTGAATGGATTCAGTGGATATAATTGACAGCAATCACCAGAATATACCAGCAGAGCTTGCAGATACCAGGAAGAATCAGAATGAGAGCTGAAATTTGTAGAAATAATTGCTCCTTGGCTTGTCTCTGAGGAGACTTTATGGAGGCATTACTAGAGTGTGATTTTTTTTTTTTTAATTCATTTGTGATCCTGGGATTGAACCCAGGGCCTTGCATATCCTAGGTAAGCACGCTACCACTTGAGCTGAACTCCCAGTCTGTTTTGTTTTTGAGACAGGGTCTCACTGCTACCTTTACCAAGGCTGGCCTTGAACTGGTGGTTTTCCTGCTTCTGTTTCCCAAGTAGCTGAGATTATAGGCTTGTACTCCTATGCCTGGCATTGAATGTGACTCTTATAAAAGTTTAAAGAATGTGTTATAAGAAGGGGGGACAAATACATATATAAAGAGAAGGGTGGTCTCCATTTCTTCAGGAAATGTTTCATGTAAGAATTCATGAAACTGCCAGGTGCAGTAACTCTCTCCTGTAATCTCAGCTACTTGGGAGGCTGAGATCTGGAGGATTTTGGTTCCAGGCCAGCTGGATGTGATGGTGGGTACCTGTTGTCCCAGCTGTGGCAGGAAACATAAAGTAGGACTACAGTTTAGGCTGGCCCTGGCAGAAAGTGAACCCCTATTTCAAAAATAACCAAAGCAAAAAGGGGTGGCAGGCATGGCTCAAACAGTGTATAAAACACAAGACCCTGAGTTCAACCCCCAATACTATTGGAAAAGAAAAAAAGAATTTAGTGACTTCAGCACAGAGTAAAGAAGAGGCCAAGACAGCCAATTCCTTCCCTCGTATGTCACTTACGTATTCATTAAGGGAGATAGCCACACTAAGCTATCATAGTTTAGCAGAAAGTAAATAAGGATCATCTGGCCAATTTCTCTTGTTCTAATTCATGTTCACCAGTTACCTTCTGATTACAATTTGTTCTATTACATAGGTCTGCCAGCAAGAAAAACATTTTCTGATTTGCACATACATTCTTCTGAAATTTCTGACTTGTTTTGAGATTGACTGATGTGATTCTTTATCCTGGACTCTAATATGTACTAACAAAGTTGAATTTCCAAGTCTTTTAGGCTAAGGAACAGATACTAGTATAAGTTACTGTTCTTAGAACGTCAGGTAAACTTACCCAGTAGACTTTCCTCTGTTCTATGTACAAAGAAGATTTTCTTTCAGAGTTGATGGTATGTTTCCCTTGATCTTTATTTAGATCCAGGACAGGTTGAGACACTAGCAGGTCCACTGCCTGTTTTCGTAAATAAAACTTAATGAAATACAACCATTAACAGTTCACTTATGTATTGTCTGTTGCTGTTTTCAGGCTACAGTGATAGTGTTAAATCATAGCAACAAAGACCATATAGCTCTCAAAGTGAAAAATATTTACCACCTGGTCATTTACAGAAAATTGGAACTTCTTCACAGATTGTTGTCTTTGAACATACTTGAAAACTGTATTGTATATTTTGTGGTAGGCTTAGTCTGAGACATATTTTTAGAAACAAATTTGACAAACATGGAATACTTTTGGTGTAAAAGATTCTTTCACATTGATTGTCTTGCTTACATTCATCATTTAATAGTGAACAATAATAGTTGAACCCAAACCTACATTTCATGATTCCAATTCCAGGACTCTTTCTTCATTACAATACAGAAGCACAACTAATATATATAGTGCATCATCTATATGATGCATGATTGCATTATTGCCCAGAACAGTGCAGTTTTCTGTTTCAGCAACTTGCTAGCTCTTCGGAAGTAACTACTAAAGTAACTACTTCTCCTTTCTTTTCCAAAGTTGAATTATTGTACCAACCATAATACTGTGTAGTTACTTGACAAATAGCTTAACATGCCTTTGCAATTTTGTGTTTGTGTGTTTCTTAGGTAGTTAACCTGCAGTACAGTGAAGTTCAAGATCGGGTCATGCTCACTGGCCGCCACATGGTTCGAGATGTGAGCTGCAAAAACTGCAATAGCAAACTGGGATGGATCTATGAGTTTGCCACTGAAGACAGCCAGCGTTATAAGGAAGGCCGTGTGATCCTGGAACGTGCTCTAGTTCGAGAGAGTGAAGGCTTTGAGGAGCATGTACCATCAGATAACTCTTGAAGAAAAAGAAATAAATCCATCTTTTCCCAGGTTTCCTTCACTGAAAACAAAAACCTACTTACATACACTGTCACCTTAGCATCAGAGTCGGATTCATGAACTGAGGAACAAGAGGTTGTGAGAATTTAAGATGGAACCTTTCTTTCTTTCTTTTTTTAATTTTGTATTTTCCATCCAGCAGCAGTGTGTAGAGAGAATATTATGCAGATGCCGTTAATTTTTTTCCCTTGTTTACATCTTGAGGTAGAAGGGTTATCTACAGCTACATGGTTGGCTATGTGAGGGAAAAAATTGGGGCTATTAGAGTGAAAAAGTGTGTTTTATGTAAACTTTGAATGAAGAGTATGTCAAGAGCATGGTTTTTAAACTTACTTGGGCTTCATTTTAAAACTTTTTTTTTTAAACCCAATTATTTCACTTGATTTGCTAGCTTCAGAGAAGAGATCCGAATCTGTGCCCAGCGCTAAAGGCTCAGTGTTAGCATGGCTTGTGCTGGCCAGTGTGCCATATTCTTGTTGGAGATGAACCGTAGCACCAGAGCCCATTCTTCCTTGTCAGTCTTGACCCAAAGATGTCACCATTCCTAGATACTTGTCACCACATAATTGGTGTTGATTAGAAAGTTCTGAAATGGGGCAGAACTGCTTGGTTGTCTTTTTCCATGTAACTTAAGCATAGTAATATAAATAAAAGTAATAGTTGGATGTTTTTGGTCCTGTGTTGCTTTAAAAACACCTTATAAAAAAGCAGAGTATTTGATAAAGTAATTTTCATAGTAGTAGTTAAGTGCTTTTTTCTTAAACTAAATTGACTGTATATTGTGTAAATGAAAGTATACTGTTTAAATCCACAGTATTTCATTTAGAAAACAGAATGTCAGTGTGCATCCATGCAGAAAGCATTTGATCTGCATCTGTTTTTAAAGGAGGGGGAAATGCAGCTTATTGAAAAACACTGCTTTACCAGACATTTCAACCTTTTCCTCTTGGTTTTGCACTAGATTTCTCATTAGCATTATTTTTTCAGCTCTTCCTTAGAAGTTCAGTTACTGACATCATACTACTTGGTATCCTCAAATAGGAAAGGATCCAGTTTGACTTGGATGTTATTTTAGCCCAAAATTTATGACAAATTTAAAATGTAAGCATTTCTTTATCTAAACTACTTCTAGGTATCCTAATACTTGCTTTTGGAATAAATGACAGTAAAATTGGCTAATTGTTCAAATGAGTGAATGGATGTTTTTATATTCAATTTCCAAGTTGTCTAGAAAGGAAATTTGCCTCAGTTGAATTAGTGTAATCTTTCTGTTGACATGAGAAGTGACTTCTGAGTACAGTTAAGTTTTTACTTGCCTTTGAGCTCTTGGTTAGAGGCATAAGTAGCTGAATAAGTAGATATAGAATAATATTGCAATTGGAATAGGTGGACACAAATTCTCTTCAACATGAATGAAATCTTCAAGCATTAAGAAACAGCATTTATTTCCATACTGGTCTTTGATGATATGCAGATTCCTAGTAGCATGCCTTACCTACAGCACTATGTGCATTTGCTGTCAAAATAAAGTATATTTTGTCTTGCATTGATGCAGTACTGCTACTTATTTTCCACTGATCATGTGGTCACCTTAATTATTTTTTTCTCTGTACACATAATCCATGCCTTTGAGTGGCTGTTGCTTTCTTTGCTTGGGTGAGGGGTTGATAAGATGGCACTCTTAGTTAACACTGCATAATTTATACCTGAAGACATTTAACTTACCAATATTAACTTCTCTGAGATAATTTTGTTAGTGTATAATTATGATTGCTAGGTTATCTTTTAGGTGACTGGTGGACACAGCAATGAGCTCCTATATGCCTTCCTTAAATTATAGTAGTAAGTAGCTACTTGGACTAGGAGCCATATAAAACTCTTAATCTAGGAAAGGTATGAATTGGAAATAGAACAAAAATTAAGATGGAAAACTCCATTAGGAAAGCACTTTGCACTGAAAGGAAGATACCTATTAAAAGAATAAAGAAGTGGTAAGTAGAAACCAAGATGGCTGTTCATCCCTAAATTGGGTATTAATTGCATAGCTTCTTTATTTTAAAATACTGGATCTCCCAAATTGAAACTTGTGTGTAGTCAGGCATAAAATACACACTTCAAAGCTCCTTAAGGATTATGATCCTAGACATATATTTAGGTTTTCATCTGCAACATGACCACCTAGAAGACGTGTTCAATATGTGAATTGTGTCCCTGTTCCTTCTCCTAGTCCTGACTGGGTCTCTAATGTAGAGTCAAAAAAAATCAGCTTTTGTTTGGTTTTTCATATAATGAAACTCAAAAAGCAACATGTCTGCTAGTGCATGAGTCACTACCCAAAGGGTTATCCAGAATCAAAATAAGTCCATACTGGTGGAATATTACCATGTGGGAAAAGCATCTTTGTCACAAGAGGCTCAAAAGCTCTGATGTTGAAGGTAAGGGGGAAAAAAAAGAATAATACAGTTTTCCACCTCCTTTAAAAAATGACTCTTAAGGACTGGAGATGTATAGAATGTCTGCTTTGCATACATGGAACCAGGAGTTCAAACCCCAATCCCATTTAAAAAAAAAAAAAAGTAATTCTTAAAATGAATAAATACAACAATTAGACAAACTGGCTTTCAGGAGCAGAAAAGATTTCTGAGAGCAAGGCATCTAGTTTTTGGAAAGATCAAGACCGGTCTTCAATGTTGATTATAACTTACTGACTTTGTGGCTTTGGGAAGCCAACTTCTAAACCTTACTTCTCTCAAGTATGAATGGGAAAACAAGCCCTGTTTTAAGTGATTCTTGTTAGAATATCTTGAAATGTATGTCATAAAAATGTGTTAAGTATTATGCAAGTGTATGGAATAACTTTTTTTTTTTTAGTTATCCTGAACAACTTCATTTTAGTACAATTTCTGTTCTCAGTTAAAGAGTGACCAGAGTACTTTTAAAAATTATTTAAATCCTTCCTGGATTTGACATGTATTGCTAGATCTTTCAGCAAATTGAGGGCATGAAATCTTTACTTTTATCATGTCATTTTGACCTTTGGCTCTGAGGACTCTTCATAATCTGGTGCTTTCAAAACCTCAAAGCGCCTATATTTCTCCTGTCGTTGGAGCAGAAGGAACAAAAGGCACATGGTACATTCAATACCATCTTAGTGGTAAAATAAGCAACAAGAAAAACAAAAAAAAAAACTTTTTTCCCCAGACAAGATAACTGAGAAGAATCCTGTAAGAACTTCCACTAATAACCTACTGATTATAGTTACTTTTTTTTTTAAAGCCACTTTTCTTCTGTTTGTCTCAGCTGTTTCACACTACTGCTATAATGATACCAGTCTAGAGTGATGTTTAGAGAATCCTAAGGTGGTGAGAAAAGGTTTATATACTAAACAATCTCATTTCAATTCTCTTCTAATTTTTTTTCCCCCTAAAGATGGGCAAGTCATGTCTCAACAAATCCCATCTAGTAACAACAACAAAGCCCCTGTATTCAGAGCAAATTTGAAAGCCTATCTTTGGGAATGGTGTTTTTTTCCGTGGACTGATCAGAGGTTTTCAGGGACTGGTGCTGTTTGAGAAATTCCACAGATATGCCCCTGAGTCAGGAGATTGGCTTAGGTAGTGCCCCAGAATTTAAATTTTGCCAGTAATTGTTTAGCTGCCAGTATCTGGCTTACTAGCTCAGCTGATTGACTGTACCTGTAAGCCCTCCCATTAGTATGAACTGTGAATACTGGTGAGTTTCTGTCCAGCTAAACCATCTCCCTTCTCCCAGGTTCCAAGCCAATATCAAAGTACTCAGCTGCATTTCCGAAACTAAAATGCCAAAAAGAATGAAAAGTATTCTCGATTCCTTTCCTAAATAAGTCTTAGGTCCTGCTAGTGTAGGCTCCTTAAGACAACAGTAAACTAGTTTTCAAGATTGAAAAGGGGAGGGGGGTACCTTTAAGGACCTGAATACAAGGGACATAACATTCAAATGATCTGCTGAAGTTTGCACTAAAGGAAAACTGGTTTTTAATATATCCAGAAGCCAAGCTGCCAGAGAAAAAGTAAGTGGCATAGGTTTCTAAGACTTCTTAAGCTCTAGACTGACCTATCTTTAAGAAAGGAATAATGTTGGGACAGTTCACTAACCAGGAAGTACAGGAGTTATAGATTCCCATGGGAAGGAATCATTGCAGGAGTCAGATGAAGTACAGGAGAAAATGTTTTGCAAATACCAAGTGTTATTCAAAAGTAATGCTGTTTTCCCTTTTTATGATACGTGATTTTTGTAGTATCCAAAACTTTGGCCTATACAACTTGAAAACTGTCAAAAACTTAATATTTAGGCTTTCAGTTTGATCATTGTAACGTGAGGTCACAGAAAATTGAACATTGTGTGACTTGGAGGTTAGTCTCTTGAAGCCTCACTTCCTCAACTTTAGGGAAAATAATTCCAAGAGAACATGAATGAAAACTTGAAATGTGTTGGGTTTTTCCCCCTTTTTAAGATAAAAGTCTCGCTATGTAGCCCGGCGAACTTGGGGTCCTCTTGCTACAGTGAGCCCCCAAGTTTTGGGATTATAGGTGTGTACCACTATGTCTAGTGGCTTTTAAAGTGTATTCCTGTAACTTGGAGGTTCAACAACTGACTTCAACTATAAGCCCCTGTCGCCACAGTGTGTGTGCTTGCTCACTTACCTGTTCAATGTTCGAGTGCGTATTTTTATGTATCTGATGATATGCTAATAGCAACACCTGGCACCTACTTAGTCTCCAGATGGATACTTATAAAGCCCAGTAAGAATACTGACTGCATCCTTACAGCAGAAAATGAAAGGCACTCCATATAGAGGTGCATAAGCTCATGAAGCAGAATAAAAGGCCTTCCTTTCTAAGTTAGGAAAAAGGAAACATTCTAGGTTAACTGAAAACAAGTCATTCCACATACAATGGATTCTGAAATTAGTGTTCTAAAACAAGCATTTTCTGTCTCCCTTCTAGAAGCAAATATAAATCAGTGTTTTCAGGTCCCATGGTAATAACTGACTAGCCTCTGACAGCCAGGCCAAAGTAGAGGACTCCATGACAGTAAAAAGGCCAGGAGCCGAGGCTCAGAGTTGCCTTTGTACAAACATCATGCTTGGAGAGTTCTTTAAGTTGGATGGCAGGGAGAGAGAAAGGGAAGGTGGAAGAATAGTATTTCAGATTCAAACATTGACCAGGGGTCTTGGTTCAGATGCCTCCAGGTGCCAGACAAAGTAAGGAGGTAAGCCTATGGTAAGGCCAAAGCCGTGGTTATGGAGTGAATGGGAGTACATAGACAGCTAAAAGACAGTCACTTTCAATTTAAAAGAAAAATCAAAAATCTGGCCCAAACACAGGTTACACTTTGGGCCTTAAAGGCTCCAATTTATATCCCTCCTCTAGTCTTACCTCTCATTTTAAATATTTGAAAACTAAGGAGAGGTGAAGTGACTTAAGCTAAGTTCTCATTAAGTAGCAGAGACTTTTTAAGGTGAGGTTCAACACAACAGAATATGCTTACTCATTAACAGTTTCAAAACAACCTGCAAGGCATACTTTGTTGAAGACATGGTGGTCAGCCTGTAGCCCTTTGGGCGGGTGGTTGAACATTGAGTAGGTAGTGCCTCTGTCCCAGCAATAAGGCTTGATTTTGCCCTTAGGC